CATTCCCTTCACCCATGTATCTGTATTAGCCATGTGTCTGTCTTTCTGTCTGTCTGCAGCAAAGCCTAGTCAGTCTGTCCTGTTACCTGTTAGGCATGTGCACTGGAGGCAAGAGTTGGTTCCTTCCCAGGCTGGGTGTAGTAATGCCCACCCATTACCCCAGCACCGAGGAGGCAGAGGCAGGAGGATTGTAACAAGTTTGAGGGCAGCTTGGGTTATATAGTGAGTTCCAGAACATCCAGGGCTACTTAATAGGCTGCATCTCAAAAAAAAAAAAAAAAAAAACCAAAAAAAGCAGAAAAGAGTTGGTCTCTTCCCTTCTCGGCTTCAGTGGGGATGCTCACCTTCCCAGCTGGTTCGAGGAAAGCAATTGAAGTATGAACTGTGCCATCCAGGGCCTCCTCCAGCGTCTCAGCTTAGTCTAACTTCACCATTTCACACTGGAGGAGCACGCCCCCAGGTGGTTAAAGAGAGCCGGGCGGCCTCTCCGGACTGTGCACAGATGGGGCGGGCCTCCTCCTGGCTGTGCCCCGTCCAGATCCTGCTTGCCACACACTATTCAGCAGATAGCGGGAAGAGCTCCCCATGTGCAGGCGCCTTTCTGGGTGAGGATAAAGTGGACAGTCTCGTGCATCCGTCTTAGCTGGAGAGACAGACGGGAAGCGAGCGATCCCGGCAGGACAGAAAAGAGTGTGGTGTTGTAATGAATGTGGTGCCAGCAGAAGGAAGATAGGGAGCGGGTGGCCACTCTGTGGAAGAGCAGTTGATGGAGACCTGGAAGAAGTGGAAGGGGTGGTCGGGGTGGTCCGGGGTGGTCCAGCAGGAACAGCAAAGGCCTGGAGGTTCCTTTCCGGGGTGAGTGACAAGGAGGAGTTGGTGTGGCTGGACTAGGGTCAGAGAGCAGGAAAGTCACGAGGAGAGGCCTGGGGTGAGCTAGGCTGCCGCCGCCGAGTGTTTGGGTTCCAGCAGACCCGGGGATAAGAGACAGTGGAGGCCAAGACGGACTGTGAAAAGGTCCGGGCTTCCTTTTCTCTGCACCACTGGCATCACTGTAGCCCGTCCAACATGTTCCTAGTGGAAGGAGGGGCCTCATCTGCAGCCAGAGGGTAGGAGACAGCCATGTTTTCCCCATCCAAGTTCACTGCTTCCTCCTGGGTGGGCTGTGGATGCTTGCTTTCTGGTTTTTTTTTTTTCAATTAAAAAAAAATGTTCACAGGTTTACTTATATGCAAATGACTGTTTTGCCTGCATGTATGTCTGTGCACCATGTGCATGTCTGGTGCCCGTGGAGGTGAGAAGGGGCATCAGGTCCCCTGGAACTGGAGTTACAGATGGTTGTGAGCTGCCATGTGGGTGCTGGGATTGATCTCTGGTCCTCTGAAAGAGCAGCCAGTGCTCTTAACCACTGAGCCAACTCTCTAAACACTCTTTATTTATTGTTGTTGTTATTATTATTTGCTTTTTTTTTTTCAAGACAGGGTTTCTCTGTGTAGTTTTGGTGCCTGTCCTGGATCTCGCTCTGTAGACCAGGCTGGCCTCGAACTTACAGAGATCCACCTGCCTCTGCCTCCTGAGTGCTGGGATTAAAGGCATGCACCACCACCACCTGGCTAAACCCCTCTTTTAATAAATTAAAAATTTTTTTTCATCACTGTGTTTTGCAATTTCCCAAAAACTTTTGTGGAAACAAAAAAAAAATTTTTTTTTTAAATTTACATCAAGTCACATGAATACCCCCAAAGGTTATGTAAGTGGAAGGTGTTGGTAGGAGTGGGAGAGGACAGGAGAGGGTAGCCAGGCAAATATGTCTGAAATACATTAGGTACAGTATGGACATGCCATCATGAAACCCACGGTCATACACAATTAATATATGCTAATAACATATCGGGATGGCCCAGCACATAAAGGCACTCCGTGCCGAGACTCCAGCTCAGATCCCAGCATTCCTACAATAAACCACAAACACCTGAGACCTCCGGTGTTTTGTGACCTCTGAGGGATCTGACTTCTTCTCCTCCTCCATGTGTACACACCCACACACATACACATGTGGCAGGAAGAGGAAGAGTTCGTGGTCATCCTCAGCTACGTAAGGAATTCCAAGCCAACCCGAGCTTGTGAGACCTTGATTTAGAAAAAAACAAGAACAAAATCAACCATCTCAGCAGTCTGTTGCTGTCAGACCCACTCCGGTTGAGTGGAGGAAACAGGTGGCCCTGCGGTAGACGGTGCTGACATTTGAACCAAGATGGCAACAGTGGAGGGGGAGAGAGGGAGAGATGGGAGGTGAGGAGGGAAGGCAGGGGTCAAGGCTGAACCTGAGGCAGTCTCAGCCTCGGCAGCCAGACTGGGGGAGGGCTTAAATTGTTGGGTTGGTTTGTTTGTTTTATAAGACACCCCTCTGCCTGCCAGAGGCTCAGCCTCGCAGAGGAAGAGTGCACATTAATAAATGCACCACTCTCTAAGAGGGCCATAGAGAGCAGGGTGGGTACCCTTTGTGGGCCCTGAAGGGTGTACCACTGGGAGAGCCTTTGAAAGAAAACCAAACGTCAGCCAGGTGCGGTGGCAGGAACCTGGGGTCCCAGCACTGGACAGGCTGAGGCAAGAAAGGATCACTGGGCTTCCAAGGCTACCCTAGCCTATGCAGGGTCAGGCCGGGCAGAGCTTCACGGTGAGCGGAGGGAGAGAGGACAGGGGAGTGGGGGGAGGGGGGAGGAGGAGAAGCAGTGAACGTAGACTATAGAGTTAGACTCAGAGCCTTGGACGGCTCCACTATCAATGGACGCTTCAGCCTCATTGCTTCTCGGTTGATCTGCAGCTGGAGGGAGACAGCCGTGGGGTTTTTTTTGTTTTTTTTTTTAATAGGGCTAGGGTATCTTGGGGTGGGGGAGGGGTAGAGTAGATTCAGTCCTGAAGGATGCGTTATCCTTTGCCGTAGGTTACCAGCATAGAACATATGCAGAAAAGTACGCCGGTCACAAGCGTGCAGTTCAGTGGTCCCCCACTAACCAAGCACACCTGTGTTGATGGCACCTGGGAGCCTCTTGAGTGTGTGACATGCAGATGGCATATAAACAGGATATAGGATGCCATGACCACATGTGGAAGTTTGCGTTGTTGCTGATTCCACGGAATCGGGTCATTTATCTGTTCCACTGCTGGTGGCCCTTGGGCTGATGGGACGAACTTCTGGCGGCTTTACACCTAGGAATGGAGTTGTTGGGTCCCAAGGCAGGTGCACATTCACTTGTATTAGTTTGCTAGTGCTGCTATAACAACGAGCCACGATCTGGTGACGCAAACAGCAGGCATATATTCGCTCACAGCTCTAGAAGCCAGGAATGTAACGTGGAGGTGTGGGCTGGGGCTCTCGTCTGCTCTCTTTGGCTTATAGCAGGTCTTCTTTCCTGTGTCTGTTTACATCATCTCTGCTCTGTTTGTGTCTATGTCAAAATTCTCCCCCCTTTAAAACATGCATTTATTTTGTGTATGTGGGGGATGGGGTTTGCAAATGTGCCATGGCATACATGTGGAGGTCAGGGGTGGGTTGTGGAGATCAATTGTCAGGATAGGCAGTGAACACGTTTACCCACTGAGCCATCTTGCCAGCACACCCTTTTTGTTTGTTCACAACAAACGCTGGTCTCACATATATTAGGTAAGTTCTCTACTATGCCACACCTCTATCCCCTCACTGGGAGATTCTAGGCAGGGGCTCTACCACTGAGCCACACCCCAGCCCCTCACTGAGGGATTCTAGGCAGGGGCTCTACCACTGAGCCACACCCCAGCCCCTCACTGGGGGATTCTAGGCAGGTGCTCTACCACTGAGCCACACCCTCAGCACCTCACTGGGGGATTCTAGGCAGGGGCTCTCCCACTGAGCCATACCCCCAGCCCCTCACTGGGGGATTCTAGACAGGGGCTGTACCACTGAGCCACACCCCCAGCCCCTCACTGGGGGATTCTAGGCAGGGGCTCTACCACTGACCCACACCCACAGCCCCTCACTGGGGGATTCTAGGCAGGTGCTCTATCACTGAGCCACACCCCAGCCCCTCACTGGGGGATTCTAGGCAGGTGCTCTACCACTGACCCACACCCCCAGCCCCTCACTGGGGGATTCTAGGCAGGGGCTCTACCACTGAGCCACACCCCAGCCCCTCACTGGGGGATTCTAGGCAGGTGCTCTATCACTGAGCTAACGCTTTTGGTCTTTTTCTTTTTATACAATTTCATTTTGGGGGAGCTGGAGAGATGGCTCAGCGGTTAAGAGCACCTGCTGTTCTTCCAGAGGTCCTGAGTTCAATTCCCAGCAATCACATGGGTGGCTCACAACATTCTGAAGTGGGATCTGATGCCCTCTTCTGGCATAAAGTTGTACATGCAGACAGAGCACTTATATACATAAAATAAATAAATTTTTTAAGAAAGGTTTTATTTTTGACCTGGGCGGTGGTGGCGCACCCCTTTAATCCCAGCACTCAGGAGGCAGAAGCAGGCAGATCTCTGTGAGTTCGAGGCCAGCCTGGTCTGTAGAGTGAGTTCCAGGACAGCCAGGACTACACAGAGAAACCCTGTCTCCAAAAACAAACAAAGATTTAATTTTTGTTATTTTTATTTATGTGTACATGTGTGGCTGTGTGTGTCACATGTGTATGGTTGCCCATGGAAGCCAGAAGAGGGTGTTGGCTTCTTCATACCTGGAATTACAGGTGGCTGTGAGCTGCCAGGTGTCAATGCTGGGATTTGAACCCAGGTCTTCTGGAAGTCCTTGTAACCCCTAAGTCATCTCTCCCGAGTACCCCCTCCCCTTTAAATTAAACTCAGGCTCCTGGCCTGAATTTTCCTTTTTGGGGTGGGGGGTGATTTTGAGACAAGGTCTCAATGTGTAGCCCTGGCTGTCCTGGAACTCACTGTGTAGCCCAGGCTGGCCTTGAACTCACAGAGATCTGTCTGCCTTTGCCTCCCGAGTGTTGGGATTAAAGGTGTGCGCCACCACCGCCTGGCTGAATTTTCCCCTTTTAATGACACTATCAACCATAATGCATTGGAACCCACTTTCATGGCCTTGTTCATCTGCAAAGCAAAGATCCTATCTCCAAATAAATTCACAAAATCTGAGTTCTTTTTTTCAACCTAAATTAGTGCCGAAGCTTTTCTCCAAGTGTCTATACCAATGCACACACCTGCTATTTGCTGGAGTGCGTTAGAGATAATTCCAGACATCATACCACATGCCTTGGGAACATTTTAAAAAGAGAAAAAAAGACTTAGCCTGGTTTACATTTTTAAACAAGTCTATTTGTTCTGTGGGAATGTAAGACTAGGCAAACATTTCACCAGGAAGGGAGAGGCAAAGAGCAAGCCCTCCCGGGGCAGCTTGGAGGACGGGACTTCCAGGTGTCCCGCGGTCAGCGTGCCGTTCCAGGTCTGGTAGACCGCAGCTTGCTGTGCCGTGCTACATGCCTCCTGGCTTCAGCTCCTTGGGGGAGATCGAGCCAGGATTCAGTCTGTGTTTCTGTCCATCCCCTCTCTGCCAGGACATACAGCAACTCCTCCAGCTCCAACAGCTGGTGCTTGTCCCCGGCCACCACCTCCAGCCACCTGCTCAGTTCCTGCTGCCACAGGCCCAGCAGAGTCAGCCAGGTGAGATCTCAGCCCGGTTGATGGTCTCCTTGTTGCTTTCGGCATTCCGTCCCCTGCCTCTCACCCACTCACCTTCTGTGTTCTTGTCTCCCCAGGCCTGCTACCGACGCCAAATCTATTCCAGCTACCTCAGCAAACCCAGGGAGCTCTCCTGACCTCCCAGCCCCGGGCTGGGCTTCCTGCACAGGTGAGACTGTCCACTGAGTTTGTCAAGCCTCTTCTGGCAGCGGCCTGAGCTAGGTCTGAGTGGGTGGGGGCGTGGCGGAGGCTGTGAAAGTCTCTGCTCCGTGAGCCCACCACGCATCCTTGAGCAGTTGAGGGACCCGAGGCCCTGCCCTACCCTGCTACCAACTTGCTGTATAGGAACTCGGGTAAGCCAGGCTCCATGTCTGGGTCGGCTCCTTCCTTCCCAATGAAGGGAAGCAAACCATGCTAGTGGTTCCAAAGCCTTTCTGAACATGGATGCCTTTGAAAATCTGATGAAATATTTAGCTTGGAGGCTGGGGAGGTAGCTCAGCCGGTAAAGTGCCCACTGCATGAGCACAAGGACCTGAGTTCGAAGAATCCTCAGAACCCAGGCTAAAAGCAGAGCATGGTAGTAATTTTATCCTTGGGGGCATGGAGGTTGATGATAGGTAGATCCCTGACCAGCCAGCCTACCCAAATCAAAAACCGTCAGGTTCATAGAGATCCTGTCTCAAAGAAAAAGAAAAAGAAAGAAAAAAGTAGCAAGTAATTGAGAAAAAACACCTGCCTGATGTTGACTTCAGCTCTCCACACACGCACGCACGCACATATGTGCACACACATATGCACACATGATTCCAGGTACTCATATGTATGCACGCATGCACATGCATGTGCACACATGTGTATGTGAACTCTGTCAAAGACTGAAAAGTTCACAGGCCAACACAGGTCTTGGCTGCTAGACTCCAAATGCCCTGAAAAGCTCAGTGTTCTTGTAACAACCATGTCAGAACTCACTTGGCCGCTAATGCTGTCCTGCCTGCTGTGGGGTGGTAGCCTTATCCCTCCTGGCATGATAGTTCTGCTGCTACCAAACTGCCCGTGTGTCCGATTACAAAGTGATGCCTTTGAACCCAACAGGGGGCTCACATCAGCATGACGCCCCAAACACACCCGATCCTTGTGACAGGTATCCCTGTACCAACCACCTGCTTCCAGTCCGTTGTTTTCAAGGCAGTGAATCACCCCAGAGAAAGGTGTTGCTTCATGATTTCCTAAGTACAGAGTTTCTGTTTTGTGTGATGGAAAAACCCCACAAACAGACAGTAGTATCAGGACATAATATCATGAATGTAATAAATCAATACAATTAATGTAATTAATGAATATCATAAAAAGAACATGTGTGTTTTATATTTTTTAATTAATAAAGCACTGCAGAGCCATGGAGGAAAAAATAATAAATTAAAACATTAAAAAAAAAGAAAGGTGTTGCTTCTTGTCCACCCTCCAGCTGCCTTCCTCATCCGTTTCTGTGCTTTTTCCCCTCTTGGCAAACTATTCACTTTTAAGACTTTGTTTTATTTATATTTTGGTGATATTAGAGAGTCAACCCAGGATTTTGAGTATGCTAGGCAAGAGCTCTACCACTGAGCCACACCCCAGCCCCTCACTGGAGGATTCTAGGCAGGGGTTCTACCACTGAGCCACACCCCCAGCACCTCACTGGGAGATTCTAGGCAGGGCCTCTACCACTGAGCCACATCCGCAGCCCCTCACTTGGGGATTCTAGGCAGGGGCTCTACCACTGAGCCACACCCCAGCCCCTCACTGGGGGATTCTAGGCAGGGCCTCTACTACTGAGCCACGCCCCCAGCCCCTCACTGGGGGATTCTAGGCAGGGGCTCTACCACTGAGTCACACCCTAGTCCCTCACTGGAGGATTCAAGGCAGAGGCTCTACCACTGAGCCATGCCCCCAGCCCCTCACTGGGGGATTCTAGACAGGAGCTCTACCACTGAGCCACACCCCATCCGATTCTAGGGGACAGGGGCGGACTCTACGACTGAACTAAATCCCCAGCCCTCTTTTCACATTTTGTTTTGAGATGGTCTTTCTGAGTTGCTCTGGATGGCAGTGAACTCATTCTGTAGCCCAAGCTGACCTTACATTTAGCAGCCTCCTGTCTTGGTCTCCTGAGCAGCTGTACGTGTTCTGTCAGGTCTTTCATTTTTTTAGAGCAGTTTTAAATGCACAGTGAAACTGAGCTCAAGATAGATTCCATATGCCTCCTGTCTTCCTCGTGCACCACCTCCCCGTTTTCTGCATCCTCAGCCCAAACAGTATTCACTTGTAGTTCAGGCATCCTCACGTTATTGCTCCATCTGTAGATTGAACCCCAGGCTTCACCCTATACCCATGAGGGAGGGGGTTGGACAGCTTGCTAATTAGTAACCTTAATCCCTTAATCAGTGGGCAGGCAGAGTCTGTGGTGGTGGTTTCTATGGAAGGAAATGTAGGCCCAAGGAGAGTTAAGGCTCAGACTGAGTTACCCCAAACGTCAGTGGCAAAGAATGATGGAGGATGAACCCACTGCCCCCAGCTCTAGGCTTTGAGCACATTGAGCTATCAGCAAAAGACACTGGCTGCTCCTTCTGGGAGTTCGGGTCTCTAAGGGAAGGTGAAGAGTTCTGGTAATTGAGTGGACCATACCGGCAGCAGAGTGAAACATTTAACAGGATTAGCAATTGGTGTGGGTTCCTGGTCAGATGAGGGGAGTCTGAAGAGTGCAGGTGCACAGCCACTGCTTAGGTACATCCCAGGTCCTCCATCCTGCATCCCATCCACCTGCCCACCCCACCAGGCTGTGACTCGCCCCACGCTGCCCGACCCGCACCTCTCACACCCGCAGCCCCCAAAATGCTTGGAACCGCCATCCCACCCGGAGGAACCTAGTGACCTGGAGGAACTGGAACAATTCGCTCGCACCTTCAAGCAACGCCGCATCAAGCTGGGCTTCACGCAGGTCTGGGACCACCTTGTGGGGCGGCGGGGGTGCGGGGGGTGACGGAACGAAGATGCAGGGGTCGTGGTCAGTTGATGGAGTGTTTGGATCTAGCCTTGCACCGGGAGACCCCGCCTTGACTTCCAAACCCCACCTCCTCCTCTCTGGACCAGGGTGATGTGGGCCTGGCCATGGGCAAGCTCTATGGCAACGACTTCAGCCAGACGACCATTTCCCGCTTCGAGGCCCTTAACCTGAGCTTCAAGAATATGTGCAAACTCAAGCCCCTTCTGGAGAAGTGGCTCAACGACGCAGGTGAGCCTGGCCAGAGGCGCCAAGGGGACGCACAGGGGACGGGAGTTGGGGCAGGGCAGGAAGTGATCACTCACATCCTTGTCTCCTGTCTTCGCAGAAACTATGTCTGTGGACTCAAGCCTACCCAGCCCCAACCAGCTGAGTAGCCCTAGCCTGGGTTTCGACGGGCTGCCGGGGCGGAGACGCAAGAAGAGAACCAGCATCGAGACGAATGTCCGCTTCGCCTTAGAGAAGAGTTTTCTAGCGGTGAGCTTTCGCCCCCTGGCGACCAGGAAGGGTATGAGGTGGAAGGACCCAGCTCAATAGCCCTCTCTGCCTGTAGAACCAGAAGCCTACCTCAGAGGAGATCCTGCTGATCGCAGAGCAGCTGCACATGGAGAAGGAAGTGATCCGCGTCTGGTTCTGCAACCGGCGCCAGAAGGAAAAACGCATCAACCCCTGCAGCGCGGCCCCCATGCTGCCCAGCCCGGGAAAGCCGACCAGCTACAGCCCTCACCTGGTACCCAGAGTTGGACGGTGGGCTGGGTGTGGGGGTCAGGTGTCCGGGCACAAGCCTGTAGGCATCTGGGTGAAGCAAACTTACCTAGAAGAGAGACCAGAGGAGCTGGTTCTGGGGACAGTATGTCACATACAGAGAGCACAGTCACAAAGGGACAATTTCCATGCCACCCAACCCGAATAGAGGTCAGAAGACAGCCCCTGGGAGTCGGTTCTCTCCTTGCACCATGAAGGTTCCAGGGATCAAACTCAGGTCATCAGGCTTGAGAGCAAGTGCCTCTACCTACCAAACCATCTCCCAGGCCCCAAAGTGTGGTCTTATGTGGCGGGTACAGGCTCCCACACATACACTTACATTACCATGAGGGTGGGATACTGCATGGTCCGGGTAGAAATATACCGGGCTCCCACCCACAGAGATAAGAAGGGCCAAACTGCAGTACCACAGCCACACATGGGTCTGAGTAGTTATCAGGCACACCGGGACATCCTTTATTCCGTCCCTTTATTTCTGCTTGTGCAAAGGGCTGTGGTGGCCAGAGAGGAACCCCTCAACTCTAGGGCTGGGGAGGAAGGAAGGGCCCTTGGCAAGTTAGCTGGCCACGTGAAGGAGGAGGACCACCCAGAAGGCCACATGCTGCCGGGTCCAGCATGCACACAGGCTCAGATGCCAAGACATGCTGAATCCCAGTGCAGTGCAGTGTGGCAGGAGCTGCTGGGAATGGGGTTGGGAGTGGAGCTTGGGCAGGGGCAGATGCTTCACGTTTTACCAGGAATCCAAATCAGGTTCGTAAAGGATTTTAAGTGGAGGAGAGACACTGTCAAATCGATTAGAACTTCTAGGGCCGAAGGCAGGGTGAGACTGCTTTGGGGTTCACCAGCCCTTTTATTTTGGGAGAGGGGAGGCTCTGAACTCCTGGTCCTCCTGCCTCTCCCTCCTGAGTGCTGAAATGTCAACCTATTTTTTTGAGACAGGATTTCATGACATGTAGCTCAAGCTGGACTCAAACTTACATAATTCAGGCTTGCCAGACTCTCTTACAAAGACAGGTGTGGCCAGGCGGTGACGGCACACGCCTTTAATCCCAGCACTCGGGAGGCAGAGCCAGGCAGATCTCTGTGAGTTCCAGGCCAGCCTGGTCTACAGAGTGAGATCCAGAGATCCAGAACAGGCACCAAAATTACACAGAGAAACCCTGTCTCGAAAAACCAAAAAGACAGATGTGTTCCTTCTAGGAAATCCAACAGCAGGAGCAGACACAGCACCTGTTCAGACACAGCTCTGCAGGGGCAATAGCTGGGCAGGGTAGTGTCAGAGGAGAGGTGGGGGACTTTCTCAGCTCAGAGTGACTGCGCCTCGTGCGTGTGACACACGCTCACCTGGGGCGTAGATGATGGGGAATGAGTGGCACGATCTAAATGAAGCACCTGGAACCCTGTTGCCCCACCCTGTGTGGGGGGCCGTGGGAGTCATGTGCACAGGGAACACCGTGGGATGCTGCCTTGTGACAAGAGCCTTACCATATACTTTGTTTCCTCTCTCCCCAGGTCACACCCCAAGGGGGCGCAGGGACCTTACCATTGTCCCAAGCTTCTAGCAGCCTGAGCACAACAGGTTAGGGGCAGGCTGAGAGGGAGACTGGGAGGTTTATCTGTGGCTCTGGACAGCCATGGACCTTGAGGCTGAAATTGTGTGTGTGTATGGGGGGGGGGGGGCGCAGACAGAGCAGCGGGCAGGCCCCTCACATTGTCTACCAGAACAACCTCTAGTCAGCTCCACAGTTCCCTGTGGAAAAGGTGTGGAGGTTGCTGGAAGGGGATGCAGAGTCTTTGTCCCTGGTGTCTGTCGTGTGTGTGTGTGTGTGTGTTGCTCTGTGAGTCCAGGAACTTGTTTCAATTCTCTGAGCTTCAGGTTTTGTATAATTATCATGAGTGTATAATACGCACACAAGATCTCTATCTATGTATTTTCTTTAGAAAGTTTGTAGGAGGAACTGGTGCTCAGAGCTCTGGGGTTCATATCCAGTTGGATTTTTTTTCTTTTTTGTTTTTTTGAGACGAGGTTTCTCTGTGTAACCCTGGCTGTCCTGGAACTCACTCTGTAGACCAGGCTGGCCTTGAACTCAGAGATCTGCCTGCCTCTGCCTCCCGAGTGCTGGGATTAAAGACATGTGCCACCACCACCCGGCTGATTGTTTTGTTAAAGGTTTTATGTGTTTGTTTTTATTTTATAAGTGTTTCTGTGCATGATGAGTATGCAGTGCCCAGCAGAAGAGGGCGTCAGATCCTCAGGAACCGAAGTGACTGACAATTATGAGCTGCCATGTGGGTGCTGGGAATGAAGCCTGAGTCCTCTCCAAGAGCAGCCAGTGCTCTTAACTGCTGAGCCACCTCTCCATCCTGTACAATTAAAAAAAAAAAAGATTTTTTTATTATTATGTATACAGTGTTCTGCCTGCATGTATGCCTGCAGGCCAGAAGAGGGCACCAGATCTAATTGTAGGTGGTTGTAAGCCACCATGTGGCTGCTGGGAATTGAACTCAGGACCTCTGGTAGAGTAGCCAGTGCTCTTAACCTTTGAGCCATCTCTCCAGCTCATGTACAGTTTTTTTTTTTTTTAATAACACATAACAAACACTCGTCTCAGGTTAAGAAATAGTAAGTGGAGAATTATAAACTAGTAAGAAGAAACTGATACTCACTGGTCCAGGTTCTTTATAAAATGCATCGACTGACTAAATTCTCATGCCCTGCTCATGAGATTGGCCCCATTTTTTCCATTTTCCATGAGGGAACTGAGGATCAAAGAGGCTGAGGTGTTCATCATAGGACACAATTGGGAGCGCCCCTGGGTTCTGTTCTAGCCAGAACAGTTTGGTCCTCCGTGGCCCACTGCTGAGCTCCCAGCAGCACAGAAGTAGTGGGGACTCGTCTCTGGCTCCTGGAGGGGGCCATAGGACCCTGTCTCCTGGGCAGCCCATTTCTTGTCTATGTCAGGGTGTTTGGGGGCGTGGTTTGCAGACAGCCAGTGCCAGTGACTACTGTGATTAGTGTCATGAGATGGGGGTATAAGGACTCTGAGGAGGGGGTTGGGACAGTGTGCTGTTCTGACCGATGAGATCCTGGGTGTGCAATAGGGGTTAGCCCTGATTTCCTTGACAAGGAACCAAAGGAAACTGAAGACTTTCTCTTTCTCTCTCTCCGGCAGTTACTACCTTATCCTCAGCTGTGGGAACGCTCCACCCCAGCCGGACAGCAGGAGGGGGTGGAGGTGGGGGCGGAGCCGCTCCCCCCCTCAATTCCATCCCCTCTGTCACTCCCCCACCCCCGGCCACCACCAACAGCACAAACCCGAGCCCTCAAGGCAGCCACTCGGCTATCGGCTTGTCGGGCCTGAACCCCAGCACGGGGTAAGTACGGGGCTACAGGTGGGAGATCACAGGGGCTTTCAGGGTGGGCAGACGCACCCCAGTTCTGCCATGGGTCCCTTTCCCCGCTAACGCTTCTGCTTTGCTCTTGCAGAAGCACAATGGTGGGGTTGAGCTCTGGGCTGAGTCCAGCCCTCATGAGCAACAACCCTTTGGCCACCATCCAAGGTGCGTGCTGCCTCATGCCACCCCATTGCCGCCAGTCAGCCCTGTCCCCTCCTGGGCCTCGAGCCCCCTCATTGCTACCCCAGCCATGCCATCCTGCCCCTGCACACTGCATTGCTCGCCTCTTCATCCCCATCTGTGTTTGGGGAAGGTGTGAGGGGTGTTGATTGATGGGAGTCAGTGGGACAGACGGGGAGATGGGGGCACTCAGGCAGGGGACAAGGAGGTGAAGGTCTCTATGGCCTGGTTTACCTCCAGCTCAGCCTCTTCTCTCCTCACCAGCCCTGGCCTCTGGTGGAACCCTGCCCCTTACCAGCCTTGATGGCAGCGGGAACCTGGTGCTGGGGGCAGCCGGTGCGGCCCCAGGGAGCCCCGGCCTAGTGACCTCGCCTCTCTTCCTGAACCACGCTGGGCTGCCCCTGCTCAGTGCCCCGCCAGGTGTGGGCCTGGTCTCAGCAGCGGCTGCAGCCGTGGCGGCCTCCATCTCCAGCAAGTCTCCTGGCCTCTCCTCGTCTTCTTCGTCCTCATCATCCTCCACTTGCAGTGAAGTGGCAGCGGCAGCACAGACCCCTGGAGGCCCAGGGGGACCTGAGGCGGGGTCCAAGGCCGAGTGAGAGCCCACCACGCTTCCCTCCTGCTCCTCTGACTCCCCCAACCTTGGTCCCCTGCCCAAGCAGGGGCCAGGAGGCTGGTGGGGGTGCAGCAGATCCTCAGAGCAGGAGTGGCAAAGGAGGAAAGACCAAAAATCAACCAAAAAAAAAGAGAAAAAAAAAAGAAAGAAAAAAAGAAACCAACAAAAGAGAAAACCAAAAATATTCACAACAGAAACCAGCTGCCCTAAAGGAACCAGAGATGAAAAACAAACGAACAAAAAATACTCCTAAACCAACCAAACACCCCCCCCCCCCCAAATCAAACAAACCAAAAACCAGTTGCGAGCCAGATCTTGGAGTGCTCACTGCTATGACACCAAATAAGAACCCTCAGCCAGGAGCGGAGCAGCCTCCAGCAGGTCGGACCTCACGCCGCCGCGGAGCCCTGGCTGTGGGGCCAACTCCTAACCTGACCCCCGCTGGGGGGTGGGCAGAGAAGGAACTAGAGAATGTGCCAGCTTGCTGGCCCAGCCCCAGCCCTGGGCCAATGGAGACAGGGCATTGCCTGGGGCAGGAGGCCCAGGGCCCAGAGCCACCTGCCAAATGGTCTTTTCCAGAAGACAAAAGAAAAGACCAAACAACCTTACACCAAATATTCAGTAGCTTCACCCAAAGGATGTACAGAATTTTTAGCGTTGTGCTCAACAGAATGTGCCCCTTCCATGTGCACCCTCTCCCCTGCCCCGAGCTCTCCCCAACAGGGCAGGGGGTCTTGCTTTAATCCTCCCAACCCCCAGCCTGGGGAGAGTTCAGAGGAAGGCCTGGGTATGGGCTTTTTTGTTCCCTGTACCTCCCCATTCCCTTTGAAGGGTGGGCTAGGCCATTTTTTTTTTTTTTTTGCCAAGTTCCAACTCTTAAAAGCCCCTCCTCAACCCCATCACCCTCTCTGCTCTGGGGTCTACCTCCTCCCGACTATGGGAAGGTGGTTGTTTCAAGCAAGGGTTGATGAGGTGGGGGCATCCAAGTTGTCTTTCTTTCCATCCTGTCTGTCAGTTTCCCTGAAAAAAAAAATCATATTCCAGTGCCTATCCGTGGGATCCTTCACGTTCTTTAACATTAACCAGAAACCAAAAAGATTAACTGGCCTCACTCTGCCTGCCCTATGCCCCTTCCGACACTGGCAGATACCTCTCCCTTCCCTTCCCGTGCCCCAACGCACACACGCACACACCCCAGTGGTGGGCTCCTCCAGATGGCATCTTCATCAGGGTCCACGTGGTGGTGACATTGCCATGTGGTTTCCCATGCAAGAGGACACTGTGGTGGTCACCACTCCCATGAGACCTCCACAAGTCTTGGCTGGACCCTGTATTTGCCTATCCCTGGACATATCTCAACAGCAGACAGAGGAGACACTCCTGGGAGCCACCTTGCCCTCCTTCTATCGTGGAGGCCAACAAAGTGTTGAACCAAAAAAAAAAAAAAACAAACAAAAAACAAAAAAAAAAACAGAACAACAAAAAACAGAAAACCAAACAAACAATAAATTAAAACTAGAAAAAAAGAATTTATAGATATATATAGATATATATATATATGGGAAAGAAGACTAGGACTCTTCAAGACAAGAAGGAGCCGTAAGGTGGAGCCAAGCCCTGCACAGTGGTCCAGGCCTTTGGTCGCCAAGGCGGATGGAACGATGGATACTTCTTTCTCTTCACAAATACCTCATGGACGTCGTCTTCGGAAAGCCGGAGGAGGGGGGTGGCTGGGGTGGGGCCTGTCCCTCAGCCAGGGGACAAAAGCGGGTGGGTGGGGCTGAAGAGGTGGTCAGGGAGGGGGTGAAGAGCCCCAAGCTCCCTCCCCCCAATCAACTGAAAAAGCTTTAAAAGGAAAAAAAAAGGAAAGCAAAAGAATGGATGAAGGAAAATCAACTGTTGGGTAGTTTGATTCCCTCTTGATTTCTGTTTCTCTCTCTCTCTCTCTCTCTCTCTCTCTCTCTCTCTCTCTCTCTCTCTCTCTCTCCCCTCTCCCTCCCTCCCTCCCTCCGTCCCTCCCTCCCTCCCCCCTCTTATTCTTCTGTCATATCTCTTAATATCCTTTCTTAATATCTCTCCTCAAACCAAAGTGTTGCTGTGAAGGACGCGAGCCATTGAAATCAGAGTGACCCCTGCCCCTGGCTGGGCAGGAGCAGAGGGAGGAGAGAGCTGGGCAACGGCTCAGGGCCCCCTTCCATCCTGGACACTCCGAGGAGAGGCAGCCAGAGCCCCCAGGTCTCAGCGTTCTTTTCTTTTGGTCTCCCTTCTCCCACCCAGAAGCAAAACTGTTGGGCTGGGCCACAGAGGCAGCGGAGACTCCAGGCCAATTCCGGGCTTGGGTGCCTTGCCCGGCCCTGGTGGTGTGGCTGCCCCTCCTACCAGGCACCAATGGGGCTGGCACCGGTCTACCCATCCTCGCTGGAATGTAAGCAGCTCTGCTGAACCAGCTCCCTGCCCTCACCCTACCTCTGAGTTTGTCCATTATAATTTCCTGAAAAAACGGCTACTAGCAAGAGGGCCTGGACCCCAACCCACAGCTGGAGAGGGGGCCAAGGACTCCCGACCCAAAAGGAAGATATTTGAACAGAGCAGGATGAAGGAATTCCAACCAACCAACAGAACAACCCCCCAAAAAAAATCCTCTGAGAAGACAGGCAGCATGGAAGGCATGGTGGAGATGACTCAAACATAAACTATGATTCTAGACCAAAAAAAGAAAAAAAAGGAAAAAAAAAAAAAAAAAAGGAAAAAATCCAGGACTCACCACCACCACCCAATTCATCCTGCTTCCTCGTTACCAAGTCCCTACCTGGGACCTCTCCCTACTCCAGTGTGGAGGAGTGGGAAAAAAGAGGAGGAAGCAGGGGGCAGGGATGGGCAGATGCCCTGACATTGGTGGAGGGGACCCCCATGCAGCCGGGGGTGGTGGGGACCCTCCCCATCCAACCCCCACACTGGGAAATGAAAAACAAACAAAATTCCCGGGAGGGGGAAAAATAACCAAATCCCAAGCTTTAACTACAGCTGTGAAACCAAATATTGGGAAGGGGGTGGGAGGGTGGGAGGGAGGGGCAGGTGAGCCCCAGGTCTCCCCCCCCTCCCCCGAGGACTCGAGATAAGGCACCAAATACCTCATAGAACTTTAATGTTAAAAAAAAAAAACCAAATATCGTTGGCTGGGGGCCAGCCAAGGCAAGGGGCTGGGGCTTGGGGGAGCCAGGTTTGGGAAGGTGAGGAGGACTTCCAGTCCCTCTTACCCCCACCTGCCCCTTCCACTCCAGTCACCCCAGCCTCGACTCCGGGAAACAAAACTATCTCATCGTTTTTATTTTGTGGTCTGTACAGAGCCTGTGTCCGTGTGTCTGTGTGTGAGCGAGAGAGTTGGAGGGCTAGGGAGCTTTATATGGGTTTGGGGAGGGAGACCCTGTACCAGCTTACATGTCAAGTGGTAAACCAGGGGCCTGGGCTAGAGGGAGAGCTGAGTGGACTGGGGTGAGAACAGTGCTCTGAATTCCCCTTCTCCCGGTCCTGACCCCTGCTTAAGGGAGGAACAGAGACTGGTCTGCCCAAATGGTGGGCCATTTGTGCCAAAAATAAATAAATAATGCCAGTAACTAAACCACCTCTCTGTTCCCTTCTCGGGGGCAGGGTAGGGATCAGAAGTGGGAGGAAGGGGCTGGATGTATGAAGAGGGGTGGGTGAGGGATGGATGGGGTTCCCAAGCCCCTTTAGAAACTGGGGCTAAGACAAGGAGGGGGTCTTACACATCTTCCTGGAAGACCAAGAGGGTCTCCAAGCCCCTCGCCCTGGGGAGCTCCAGCCAGGCACTAGTCAAGTCAAGGGAGTGACCTCTTGACCTGACTACTTTTTCTCCTCCAGCCCATTCCCAGGGTGCCTCTCTCTCCCTCTCACCCAGGGTAGGGATAACTGAGTGAGAGAGAGTAATAAGCAGGATTGAGACACGCGGGCCCCCACCGGTCTCTGAGTGGGTAAGGCAAGTGCGAGAGATAAAGGCCTCCAAGAGAAAAAAAGAAACAAACCAAAGATTTAACCATTTAAAAAAAAAAAAAAAAACCACAGACAACTCCGCTACCTTTTTATACGTTGGGAAAAAAGTGGAAAAAAAAATTAGAATAAAAACTAAAAAATAAAAAAAAATAAAACAAAAAACAAAAACAAAAAAACAACCCAAAACAAACAAACAAAAAAACAATAAAAAAGAAAACAAAAACAAAAACAACCACAAAAACTTCAAGCCGTGGTTCTTTTGTGTGGTTTAAACTTTGACCTCAGCAGTCTCCAAAGCAAGACGACGACGATGACAAAGGCAGAAAAAAGAAAAAATGATGTCTATTTTTAAGTATTTGTCCTTGGTGTTGGCTCCTTCCTAAACAAGCAAAAGGAGCAAAGGAAAGAATCCTGAGAGTGTTGCTGGGACGGAGACAACTACTTACTTTGTCTGTGACCCCCCACCCCTCGCCCTCCCTCTCCTCTAGCCCTGCTGCCCTTCCCCCAACCTGTCCTCCAAGCCCAGGGGCTCAGTATTTATTTATTTATGTAATTGCAGGGTGACGGGGGCTTCTGAACAGAGGGCCTTTGGATCATAGCTGGGGGGTGGGGCAGACGGGCAGGCATCTTTGGTGCTGAAGTGGAGGCCTGGTCTTTTGATCACCTCCTCTGGCCCCTTTCTGACTGTGCCACAGTCGCCTGCCAAGGCCAAGGCGCCAGGACAGAGTGACCACTCTACCTTGAAAAGATCTGACTGGCTCCACCCTTTCTGGTGTGGCTGTCCCTCACCTATGCACTTGAATGTCCAGGTAGAGGAGACAGGAGTGGGGAGCCGTGGTAAGTAGTGGGCCAGGATGTAGGCCCTGGAGTGACCTGCCTCCCCTCCGGGCCCATCGAGGTAGCTCCCCTTTTGGTTGGCAGCCCCTCCCTTCCCTCAGATCCCTTCCCTGTCTCTTCTTGTGGTAGCGGGTTAGTGTTTCAGTGTTTTTAACTTCACTCTGCTTGTTCATTGTACAATGTGCTTCTTTTAAGGCCCCATTTTTGTAACTTGTGTCATTCATCTGAACAACAAACATCAAAAAATAAAAATTTAAAAACTGTACAGAGAGAAATAATGTCTGGTGTCCCTTGGCCTCCTGTGTCCTTGGAGTAGTAGGTCAGATCAGGGTATGGGTAGAAATGTGAACTGGGGAGGGGAAAGAGTCAAATACTAGAGCAGTAGTAGTGGCCTGGCCCTGGAGTCTGAGGATTTGAAAGGCTGAAGCAAGGAGAT